TGGAGTGTACTCCGTGGAGGAACTGTAACTTGTGGAGCTAGTTGTAGTTTGACGACAGTACGTCGATGTTTATCTCTCCAACTGGTAGTTCCGCATCCAGTTGCCTATGAGCTCCCGCCCTGATTGCTGCTCAGTGTCGTTTTTGCCATCATCGCAACGCTGGCATGCTTCACAAAACGTCTTCATATGATCGTCCAACTGTTAGCAGCGAAGCAGTACACCGCGAGCTTTTCTTCTGGCGGAGAAGGACAACTTAGGGATTTGAGGGTCACTCTTGCCACCTAAATTTCCCATAAATCTCACAATTCTGCACTTTCCCTCTAAAGAGAAGAAAATTTTTTTTTCCTGCTCGGCAAAATCACAGTGGAATCGTTGACTTTTCCAAATGTCTAAAGACCTACATACAACGTGGCTCTCAGGTGTTTTCGGATGACAATAGAGAAGTGGCAGCTGAATGGAATTGAATTCTACTATTCATACTTCCCCCTGCTCACAGATTATTTACATTGTTTTCTCCTAGTCACTGAAGAGCCTCAAGAGATCTGTTGAACAGGTCAGCTGATCCACAGGTCAAATTAACCACCTCTCGTTATTCTCGAAGTTTATAACCCGTTTGCTGTGACCTTCATATCTACATCGAGCTTACGGCCAGTCTCAAGTCGTTGGTAAAACTTGGTAGGAAGGTTTTCATTTGAGACCCGACTATCCCTTCGTTGGAGGAGAGTTTTCGTTATTCGCGTTCATCCTCTTTGTCAGTGTTCAATTCGACACATCACAATGATTCAATGGGTGACGCTGTGACTCAGACTGATAATGCGGTTGCGACAATGATGAAGTCTTTTAATGACTCTTCATACGATGGGAAAACTATGCGGTGAGAACTCGATCTGAAGGAAGGGGAACTGGAATTTTTGTGAGGAACAGATGTTTGGTTGAATGACTAATGGGCTGTCGGGACTTGGCCATCCAGCGTTGGGAGGTTGGCTCGTGATCACTTCTTCTTCTTATCGTTGAGGAATTCCGAGAACTCTTCATGCAGGGAACCTCAGTAGTCAACATGCAACCCGTCGAATGATTTGGAGCTGTTATGAAGTAATTAATTACGCCTTTTGTCTGTGGCTTTTGTCTTCAGCTACATCCTTACCCATGCAGCCTCCGGACTCATGGCTCCGTCGATGTCTGAAGATTGATTGAAAAGTAGCGAATTTACTCTTCTCATTTTTATCCTAATTTGATAATGTGAACTCTCAATGATAACTCCTTGACATCAAGCTGCTAGATCCAACCTGTCTTCAAGACAAACTGTCCACTCAGTTCCGTGGATCTTGGTCCTCGCCATGTGAGAGGCAAATGGGTCTGACCGAACACAAGTGCAGGGGAATGGGATGGGCAGAGGGATGGATAAACTCAGCTATGGGATGCGCCACGCACACGACCTCCATTCACATTCCTAATAGCACTCAAAGACATTTGGTCTATATAAAACAGCTTTCTGAGTCAGATGACACACTTCGCATAGTTGGGAGGACACTTCTAGACATTTTTTAGAGCCACCGCTAGAGCTCTTTCAGCTCTTCCTGCATACCTTGTCACAGTTCTATTGATTACGGAGTTCTCCAAATACGATCCCAGTTCCAGCGAGCCAGATACAATCCCTTCCCGTTGAAGTTTCCTCAACCCTTGACCCTGCTCCCGACTCCTTCAGCAGCGTCGCACGGCCAGCCACACTCCCAATCATAGCCGAATGCTTACTTGTCCGCGCCCTCTTACCTTCTTGTTGTTCTTTCCACTGAGTACGTGTTTGCTGCAGGATGGGTGGTATTGACGCAAGTACTGATTGAGGATAGCGCGGGCGGAGTATGGAGACGGTATCTTATCACTACCCCCGAGCCTACTTCCCGGGCACATTTCAGCGAAGAAAGTGGCACGCCACTGCGATTGGGGACCCATTCGAATTGCACATGGAGTGGGCCGTTTCAGAGATTAAGTGTGCAGTTTGTCTTTGAAACAGAAAAAAAAGTTTTGTGTGGCCAAACATAGGTCGTGCTAGAAGCTGACTCCTATTCTGAATCCGGCAGACATTTCCATGCATACATAGAGTATACCATGGCTTATGCGCATTCCCAACCTCTTGTCTCCTTTGATTCACTTAGATTGTTAGGCTGATACTTCAGGTGTTCGACCCCTCCATCAGCTCCCGGAGAGGGCACCATTCGCATTTCAAAGGTCTTCTGATTTTGCAAATTCCGCCGTTACTGGGTGATTTGTGTGCACGGGTGATTAGATGGCGAACGACGTCATTAACGTGGAGCAATTCAAAGTGATTCAATTTCACCCATCAAAACGGTGATTTTCGTGGTAACTTGTGGGATGTGAGCAATCGTTCGAAGGCGTTGACAACCGGTTCTGAATCATATAAAACAAATCAATCTCGATTAGGGTAATGTGAACTGAGAAACCACATTCAATTGTGCTCGTAGAGTTGGCGAATGGAACGAGAAGAAAGTGTGGGAAAAGTTCCGAGTTTGAATCCTGTTCCCGAGTTGATATGGAGCGTTCCGGTTTCATTTCGGAAGCAGCAGGGAAGATTACTGGGACCTTCAAGCCTTCGCAAAGCTACAGATCATTGAAAGGTTTTCTGGGTGACACCCTTTGCGCTAATTACAGTGAAGCGTATGAAATTCTAGGAATATTCAATGTCGTGGCGCTGCAGGTGTTATTGAGTCCCTCCCACATGGTAGCGCATCCCATTTCCAGTACTTGGTGTCACTACTCTACTTTTTTCACCAAAAAATGTGGGACACTTTGGAAACAGGTTGAGGGAGCAAGCGACAAGACTGTGTCACATCGTAATAAGCTGTTTTTTCACCGATTCTCGGTGCTTACCAGCTTCAACAACTGGAGAACGGGTCTACGCCGCACCAAACCCTTTCCACCTGTCACGCCCCGTCATCTGTGGCGAACGAGTCTATAGCTCATTTAATGAGAACAAGTTAAACTTATGCGAGCAGGTTCCAGAATACTTATGTTCCAGCTCCTCCCCCAACATTATTTTCATTAAATAGATCGAATTGGTCTCCGAACTTCAGTCATGGATTAAGATTAGGCACTATACACCTGCCAAAAGGTGGCAGCCAAGCTTATTGAAGGCTGAACCATGTCCTGGTATTTTTTGTATCAATTTTTGCTTTCAGGTCATCCCGAACTACAGGAAACCTTTGGTGGTAGTGGCACCTAAAATTCTTCTACGACATCCAAAGGTAAATGTTTTTCCTCTTTTTCATAACTTGCTGTAGGCAGTTCCCTGTTTTTGACTCTGAGGTGAAGATACGTAGGATACGTGAAGGAAGAAGAAAATGAAAGGTGTAAAAAGGGTTAAAAAGGGTTGAATGAAAGGGTGAGATAGCATTGTTCAAAGAGCGCTGTAGGTTCAGCCCTTTTTGAATCTGATGATGAGTGCGTAAAGAAGAACTAAACTGCCGGCAAGGCTAATTTGTTTAACAAATCTCCGTGAAAGTTGGCATTTCGGAACACTGAAACGACTGAGATTGTTTTTAGCATTATGGATGGAGTTATCCTTTTTTTGGATTGAGTCATCCTTCTTGTCGAGAGCTTGTCAGCCTCACGTGATGTTCCAGGTCGCTTATTGGCAACCGTGGAAGGGTAACAATGGTAGTGCGTTAACAGGACACGAACTACCGGAGAGAAAAAAGAACTCAAAGCTAGAAACTTTATGCTCTAGCACGAGCCCCTTCCCCATCCTACTGACCACCTCCTGAACTGCTCGTTTTTCTCCCAGAAACCGTCTTCGAGCAGATGGAGCGGGGAAGGGGTATCAGGTGGAGGACAAGGAAAACCGAGAGAAGTCAAATCCGAGAACATCTTTCGGAGAGGCGAATACCACCCCCTCCCTTTCCTCTAGCGACAGCGAAATACATTGACCGTAGAACTCGAAAGATTATATGCAGTTCGAAGCAATAGTTGCGAAGCGAAAGGATGGCCAACTGCAGTCTTTCCATTACCTAGCCAACGATCCGTTCGCACAGAAGACTCTCTTGTGGCGGTTTCCCCGAACATGTACCCAAAGGCAAGTAGTCCAATAGGGAAATCGTAGGCTCCATAAAGGGAGATATGTTACCTTGAAAATGCGACCGAGAGTTTTACTCAAGTGAAGGGGGTTTGAGAAAAGAAACGTCATCAAGTCATCGAAAAATTGGTGGAATATTCTGTCAGACGGCAGGCTCTGACAAAAGCCAAAGAACACTTTAAAACTACCGACCTCACGGTCCCAAAGGCAGTCCAGATTTTTACTGAAGAGAGATGAGTATTTTAGTACTGAGAGATGAAAATATTGCTTGTCACGTTGTATGCGTCGTTGAAGAGACCAGTGAACTCGGCTTCCGGCAAAATTTGATTTTTTTTCAAAGTTCTACCCCAAACTTTTCCACTATTTGGACTTTTTTATAGACTAATAGACTAATGTAGGTGTTGATGTAATAAATATACTCTGTTCGCTCGCGCGTAAATCAGAGCGGGGAAAATGATAAGTATTAATGGGCACATCGTTAGTTGGGGATTTTTATCGACTCCGTACGAACTCCCCCCACCCCTTTTCTTGGTAGGAGTTTGGTATGATCCATCACGATCCATCTGGTTCCCCCTCATTGAGCTGTCTAGGAGGGTGCACATGAAACAGGAGAAATCATGAAAGTTAGGCCACCTTCTTTAGAAGGTCAGAAGGGAAGTACGACCCCTCCCCCCCCCCCCTACAGCGCTCGCGAAAAAAAGAAAAAAGAAATCAATTTTCATATAAATTTTTCTCAGCCCATACGTCTCCCCCTCTCCCAGCGACTGGTTGGTCATTTTATTCGTCATTCTTTTACCTTGGTATGCATCGGTATCGTATTTAATTTGTAACGATCGCAAAAAGATCTGTTCCTTTTCTCCGAAAACCGATCGTTGTAGCGCGGATTATGCCCGATGCTATTGCAGTTAATATAATGAGATCGTTGCCGTTTGTTTGGTATGCGTCAGCTGATCATCGCATCTCATTGTGCTGGAGCGGTTGTGTTCTTCCTGTTATTGCGGAAGAGCTGCTCCTGATGAGCCCTAGGCTGAAGATTGTTGTGGCTTGTGCACTGGTGCTGCCTGCACTCGACGACGAGTGCCAGATCAAAGTGGTACCGCCTCAGTCGTTTCTTTTCATTGACGCCTTTGTTCGCACCATAGAAGCACGGCTGTCCGAATTGAGAACGCGAAGACAACAGGAGAATTGCCTTTTGGAGGTGCCGGTTAATTGAAACACGACAACTGTAGCGGCTTTTGTTCGAAGTTTGATATGTGACTCTGAGGAGGTTGATTTGATGGCTTAGGGTTTTTCCTTATCTGATTTGCTCGGATTAATGTGATCCAGTAACTTCACAAAAATCACTATTAGAGAGCTCTGCGCAATTAATAGATCCATCTTGTATTGAAGCAGAGACTTTGCACTATTTACTTTTTGGTGTCCCGATCCTCCGGAATCAGACTTCTCTTTACCGACTCTTCTCTGGATGAGGCAGATATGGCCAGAAAATTGTTTTCGGAAGTGTTAGTTCAGCCTCCTGCACATGAATTTCGCGCCTTTTGACCCTAAATCTGGCGCTCGCGCCACATTCGGTGGCAAAATATGGAAAGTCACAAAATTAGCTGAATACTCAAGGATAGCGACCTCCCGAACATGAACAGCACATGTACATGGGGTGCCCGAGGTGTCAAGAATGAAATAAAGAGGGTACACGCGATTGCGCAGCCTGCTGCGCTAATCTGCACACTGCGAGATAGTGATCGTTTCCTCTGCCAATAGTAAGCAGCTACAGCGAAGAGAAGAGTCCTTTTTGCACGCATTTGGAAAGGGTACTGTCTCATCGTAGGTTTCTCGAACTGCCATAGTAACTTGGCACGAAATAGAAGTCTGCGCTACACCCCGCGGTCAAAGCAACCATGTGATGTCGTCGCCTGTGACTCGGACAGTCAGCTATTTCGTTACTGACAAATACGATATTCGTGCTCGATAGGTCAGACTATTCCTTTGAACAAGTCTCAGCCACGCAGAGAAAGGTCGGTAGAAAACTGTCGTGTTATCGGAATATTGGGCAGTAAAGGGTAAACAGCGCCATGTGCTCTGCCCTTTGCGAGCTTTTCCTAGATAATATTTGGGCAGAGAAGGAAAAACATCGTTCGAATCACCAGTAGTGACCTAAAGTCTTATCACTGAACTAACAAGGTGATTACTTGTTGTGGTTTGCTGGCAATGGGATGATAGTGGTTTGTTATGAACGGCGTTATCCCGGGAACTGTTCAAAAATCGAAATGTTTTAAATGCTCAAGCATTCGAGTAGAATTCCACTTTTTTCTAGGAACCGCTTGAGCAACCTATGAAATGCGTGGGAATGCGCGGAAATGCATTGAGTCCGCTACTAGTAAGATCAAGTCTTTTATTGCTTTCACCCACTGTGCTCTGCAGTCGAATTCGAACCTATGCAGATGAGTCCTCTGGGCGCAGTTCGGTGACGGGGAAGAGCATTTCGTACTTTTGCTGCTTCACTAGTTCCGGTTTACAAGTCTCACTCTGGTGGAACCTGTGAACTCTTGTGAAGCTGGAGCAAGCTCGTCCAGACGGGCAAGAGTCTTGAATTGCTGCTTCGTCGCGCGCGGCATTGGACGCGACGTTTCCTTAGTTTGTGTAACCCTTTCGATGGGAGCATTGAATTTCATATTTGGCTATAAATTGTCTATTCTCGACCAATACCACCTAAAATCGTCGTCATTAGCGGGCGCGACGTCGCACGCGAGCAAGCTGGCGCGGCGAATTACGATTCTCTTGCCACATACCCCGTCGAGCCACCATTGTGAAACCTGTCAACTCTTGTGAGCTTACATTACGGCTCTCTAGATGGCTCGACACCTGGTTGGGAAGTAGCAAAAGTGTAAAATACCCCCTTCGCCAAACTGCCTCGTCTTCTGTTCCATCCATGTACGTGCCTAGAAAAAGTGGGAAAGGAAGGAACAAACATCACCCGCCTCTCCCAAAGCGGAAATGAGCCTGTTGCTTGTCTCGAAAGTGTACTGTAGAAGCTAGTGACATGGTCTCCCCTGGAGAGGCTTGTGGAAGCAAAAGCAGGACCATTGCCTGCAAAAATGAATTATTGCCTATTGTGTAACTGTGACTTAAGGGTAGTTACGGTAGCAGAAGTGAGTAAGCAAGGACAATTTGTGGGTAGAGTGACAGAATGCTTTCATTGATATTGCTAGACTGCCTTGCTATTCATTATGGTGATTAACTGACTTCGTTCATTGTTTAGGCCGCTTCGTCCTTGTCCGAGTTCGCACCTGGAACGTACTTTAGGAATGTGATCGACGACAGCACTTGTAAACCTGAAAAGGTTACCAAGGTGAGTTGGGTTAGAGGTGATTTAGTACCGCGCGACTGACCTTCGTGTGTGGTTTTTCTTCTGCATCACGAAAGAGAACTCTTAAATTTGGATGGGTAGCCTATTTGTTCATTGGGAATCATCAGGCTTGGCGAACAAGTTTTTCTGGAAAAAAAAACAAATCGTTGTGAATGTTTCAAGGTTTCATAGAAATAGAATTTTTTTTGCGTAGGCTGTCAGTATTTCCATCCCCTTCCAGGTAATCCTCACAAGTGGCAAGCATTGGATTGCAGTCGAAAAAGAACGCGATGAACGTGGTCTCAAGGATACGGTAGCGATAATTCGCGTCGAGAGTCTCTGCCCCTTCCCCGTGCAGGATCTTCGAGAAACACTTCAACGGTACCCCAAAGCAACGAGTAGGTTCTTACACTCGTCATAGGTTACTGGAGTACTTGGAATTCTGTACGGTCTTGCGGATCTAGGCCTGTTTAAAGCGACTCAGGATAAGTTTCAAAAATAGAGCATTACGTACAGGACACGTGTGCAGCTGAGGAAAGTTTTTTTAATTTTCGGAAAATACGACCCCCTCCCTCCACCGTCCTCCGACTTTTTCCAGCCTCCTCCCACATTTATTGATATTTCTCCAGAAATTTCGCTGTTGAGCGAGTGGGGTGGAGGGTGGTGTGGCACCAGTCAAAGGGAAAAGCCGCAAAAAGTCAACACCAAAAAAAAACATCCGCGAAATCTCAGGTTTCCTTAAATGTCTCCCAAAGGTAATCATCAACCCTTCTCCTAGTCTCTCTCCCCATTGGACTACTCGCAACGATGTGAATAAAGCTCGTAAAGACGAGAACCCTTACGTCTGAAGTCTGAATCCCGCAGTTGCTGCCCTTTATTTTCAGTGCCCGAGAAGGAAGCCTATATTTTTCAAGGGCGTAAATATAGGGTAGGGTTCCTTCTGAATCCTTTTCTCAACTTCGTTCTAGCTTTTCGAAATCCCGCGATTCAGGGGTTTTGAAAAAATCCTTCATCGACCACGAGACATGCCCCAATTGACCGTTTAGTGACCCAGCTTAGGCACTTAGATAGTATCAGTAAACACCGTGGCCGTGGCACTGGAGGGCCAGCTGTGTTTTTGCGTTTGAGATCACTTGAGAATAGCAGTCGAGTGAGTGGAGTCGCCTTTCATGATTCGTTAGCGAATGTGTGCGTCTCCGCCTTTTCAGTGATCTGTTCGCTGGATTTGACGTCTGCGTCGCGGCGCAGTGCCAAGAGGCTACGGTCGCCCAAATTTCTCTCATAACGTGCGCAGGTGCTGGTGCCGTTTTACGAGGTAATGAAAGGAGCTTAACAGCTTCGAAGACGGTGCTCGTAAAAAAATGCGAATAGCGTCGCCGACGACACCTGAGCGGCCTTGAAAAGCGCAGAGCAGAAGGTGATGACAGGCGGAAGTATGGGTACGGTACGTGGAGAATCTAATAAATTTCCCTCCAAGAGCTTTGAAAACATAGGCCCGGAAAAAATGTAGTCCTTCAGAGATCAGGCATCAGCTGGTAGGTCCTAGTGACCAGTCATTGAACAGACAAGTGTAAGAGCAGCACCTTCCGTTACTGTCTCTTTCTGGTTAACAATCGATGAACTTTTACTTTCAATGAGTAGTATTCAAATAGTATTCAAATGCACTGTTCAAAGGCCTCTGCAAAAGTAGCGGTTGCTACGTTCGTAAGGCTAAGGTTGCTCACTGTTCGACCATCGCCTCCCACAAAGTCGTCAGTGAAGCCCCATCTGATCCAATGAAGCTTCCATACCTTTGAACTTGCTCGTTGGGTGCTCAAGTTGGGCGCAAGTCCGCGGAGGAGGGGGGGGGAGGGCAGGTTCATTTTGCACTTTCGCTGCTCCGTTTCCAGTTCACAAGTTTCACTGTGGTGGAGCTCGTGAAATCTTATGAAGCTGGAGCAAGCTCTTTTAGCCAGTGACCTGTCAACTCTTGTAAGATCATGAAGTAGCTCCCTAGATGGCTCAACACGTCCATGGGAACCAGCAAAAGTGCAAAATGCCCCCCCCGTCGCCGAACTGTCCCCTCATGTTCTAGAGCGGAAAATTTGTGATTTGAATGCAACGTCAGCTTTTCTTTTCTTTTACCCCCTCCCCCCCCTGCATCACGAGTGCTCGGCTATTTACCTTAGTGCGAGTGGTGTTCTGGATTAATCCTGAGCAGTCATTTTGAAAATGGCGATGACTGGTTTGTTTGTGGGAACTGCCGGGTGTTTATCTACCTTTTTTTCTTTGGAGTAAGAGCAGTTTCGAAGTAGTGCAATGAGAGGAGCACAGAAAATAAGATTTCTGCTAATACTAAAATATAGCTTAACCCTGGAATACTATTTCATAATCGCCTTTGCTTTCTTGTAGAATCGCTTGTACATATGTGAAGGGACAGAAGCGACTGAATGTTCGTTTAACTGCTATGATTACCTGTAACGAGAATAACCCGCGCTCCAACTCGTGCTTCCTCCCTGTTGATCACGGTCGGTGCCAGAGATCAAGGTGAAATCACCCTATGTGAGAGATATCTGTTTCGTCTTGTACGGTTCTTTTCTTCTTTTTTCTTGAACTATGGCCTTTTTCGGCATCTTTTGTTGAAGGCCACAGGAACAGGGCACCTCATGAGTTGGGATTCTGGTCGAGTCCGAACGACTTCCCCCCCCCCTTTTTTTCAGGGGTTTAGTACGATCCCCTGGTTCCCTCCTCATCGAGCTGTCGAGCGGGATGGGGAACACGACCGCCCTGTCCACCCGGTCTTTCTTAGACTTTCCCCAACCCCAACTTCCTACCACTTTTTCCGGAACTTCGCCGAAAATTTTTCTGATTTTACCTGAAAGTTTTGCTGTATAGTAGTAGTACCCATGAAAGGGGGCTACACAG